CCCAGGCTGTTCCCAGCATCTTCCTGGCGCCCAGGAATTCTCCTTTGGAGAAAAGCTGGGAGAAGTTGAGTGATGAGTATGTCATGGGGGCACGCAGGATGTGTGTCAGAGACCTTTAAGCAAAGGGAACGAGGGTAAAATGAGAAACAGTTGAGGCAAAGGTCTTTTTTATGAGGGAAGCCTGCAGGAAGGTTGATTCTTCGCCTGCTATGTGCGTGTTAATAAAGATAAGATTCTCGTGCCATGGCAGAAGGATTTCTAAATCCACAGCCTAGGTGCTAGCTGTGTCTTTTAACTCTTTTAACCCTACAAGTGCAAAAAGCTGGGGAGGAGATGAGTCTCTGAGCAGCTGCTGAGTTGCATACTGCTGGTAGTGATCTGCAGCTCCCAGCCCTGCATTGCCTTCATTTTGGGCAGCCTTGGTCTGTCTTTGAGTATGTGGGTGTTGTATCCTTCTATGCACCCCTTCTGCCATGGCATTCCCATAACAAAAAAGGAAATGGGGCAAACCAAAGGGATGTTGGAGTGGGATGCAGGCAAAATAAAAGCTGCAGTGCCTTTGGTACTGGAAGGGCCGAGCTGTGCCCCCAGCAGACCCACAGTGAACTGCCATGGGCATTCCTGTGCTTTGCAAGAGTGTTGGGGATGAGTTTTGGGGATGGGGACGCATGGATACGTACAAAAGGGCCCACGGTGCCCCACGGTGCAAGAGAGGAAAGTGCTGCAAGGACCTATCTTGAGAAGGAAACTGAAAATGAAAGTTCCTCTGAAGTGATGGCCTAGTTGCAGCTTGCCACATTTGCTTCCTAAGGGTTTGGCAGACAGCAAGTGAGGAATCACATGAGTCAGCTGCTCACAGGCACTGCATGCCAGCGCTCACCAGACCTCATGCAGGTTGAGCTGTCAGAGTCACCCAGAAATTCCATGCTGGGGAATTCCCCGCGTTGGTGCTGAGCTCTGGGCTGGGGGCAGTGGGCTGAGGTGAAACACAACCAGCTGCATCAATAGGCTGTGCTGTAGGTGTGCTGGAGCAGTTGGGCTCTATGCTGGATGTGTCCACAGCCAGCACTGTGCTCCGTGCAGCCTTGGGCTGCGGCAGTGTGAGGCACGGAAGGAATTCATCCCCCTTTGGTTATCCACAAGCTAACAGAACTGCTCCCAGGCTGTTCCTTGCAGCCTTCAGACGAAAGGTGAGCTGTGATTTTAGCCTTGCTGGGCATTGCATCTCGTGGAGCTGCCATACACAGCCCTTCCCTGAGCAGGGAGCAGCAGGAGAGGGGCGTCCCCAGGACCCAGCTCTGCTCCCACCCCATGGACCCCACTGCTGATCCTCAGCGTGCCCTCAGCTTTTCCTTGGATGGGGATGTTTGAGGTTGGGGAGGAAAAGGGAAATCCTGTCCCTGTAGGCGTGTAGGAAAAAACAGCCCCTCCATCTGTGTGTCAGCAGGGCTCAGAGTCCCTGAGTGCAGCAATATGTGAGAGCTTGCTGAGCTGGTTTGCATTTCCAGGCCCCCATCCCCACCCTGGATGCACTTCACACTCTGGTTTATGATCTCAATTTGTTTTTTTGTTTTTTTGTTTTTTTTTCCTTCTGCATAATCTTTATCTGCGAGCTTGGACTGGGTGTTGCACCTCTGACCTTGCCATAGTTGGTTGTTTTCCTGTAACCAGCACTTAAATTTTGCCAGGGTTTGTTTTGAACTGGGTGCCAATGGGTCTCTGTGAATTTCAAGCTGGTGCAAAGCAGAAAACCCACCAGCTCGGCCCTGTCTGAGCTCTGGCCTCAGAACATGTACTGGCATGCTGAACAAAAGGCGAGCAGCCGCAGGGATCCAGCCCTGACTTAGGCAGGTGGCCCCACTTCCTTCCCTGCAGAAAGCAGGGCTGACGTCAGAGCGAGCAGCGGGCAGCAGAGCAGCAGATGAGCGTTTTGCGGAGCCCTCAGCACAGGTACAGTTTGGGATGGCTGGGGGCAGCTGGAGCCCTGCACTCCGTTTAATTTTCTCGTTCAGAGGGGAGCTCGGAAGGCATAATGACATGGGAAGTTGGAGCCTCTGGATGTAGGGAAGGAGAGACCTCGTTTTTTGTAGGAGCTGTGGAAAGGCAGGCAGAGCTGCCTGCAAGGAGCGATTGCTGCAGCCGTGGGTTGGTTTGCTGTGGAGGAGCAGAGCTCCGCTGCTGAGCTTCGGGTGCCCTGCGGAGCTGCTGCCCCCTGTGCTGGGCTATGCCTTCATCCCAGCGTGATGCTGGGTGCTGCTGTGCCCTCCTCACGTCCTCTATCCCTGCAGGTCCCGCTGAGACCCACAGCATCTCTGCAATGGAAGGGAATGAGGGGGACCCACCCGGGGCCCACGGACGCCAGGGCAGCAATGAGCGCAGGCCGTCACGAGAGACCAATTCAGGTAAAAAAGGGGGATGTGATATTCATGGGGAGGGAGCGCGCTGAAATCTTCTTGGCACGTGCTTCTTTGTAAAAGGCAGCATTCCGTACCTCCAGGGCTTTTTGTAAGGCTGGCGTGATCAATCAGCTTATGAAGGTCTGCAGAATGGAACGCTGAGCTCACGCGCTGGTGGGAGATGGTGGGTGTCATGGATTTGTGCAGGGGGGAGCACAGAGCATGGAGCAAACATCTTGGGGAGCTGCGGGGAGCTGTGCTGGGAGCTCAGTGCAGCCACACAGGGCTCTCTGTGCCACAGATGCCAGCTGCAATTTACTTTCCCTTCCATGAACACAAGTGAGGGAAAGGTGTTTGAGGGTTTGAGCACGCAGGGGACGTGCGGTGCTGCCTCCAGCAGCTGCTTTCAGTCGTGTTGCATTGGCTGCAGGGTGCAGGAGGTGTGCTGTGCCTTGGGAAGCACTGCAGTGCTGCTGCCTGCCGATGGGTGAAACTGGGAGCAGGGCTGAAAGGAACCAGGCACAAACCTCAGCTCCTTTTTCGTCCCCCGGTGATAAAATGTTGCTGCACAGAGCACTTTTCGATACGAGTGACTTCTTAACCTGTTCTGCAGGTGGACCTGTAAATAACGTGAGTCACTGCAGCTCTGTCAATAGCAGAGATTAGAAGCCCTCCCTCACTGTTTATGTATCCGAGCTCAGACCTGGCTCAGGGCTGCTTTATTGCCTGATGGGGCTGTTTGTACCCTGGCATGGCCCTCTCCATCAGTAGCTCTGGATCCCACATGAGCACAGTGCAGGAGACAAAGCCGTCCTTCCCTTACCAAGGTCTACGAGGCATAAAAACAAATAAATGAGCAGAGCTGTTTACGTATGCGATTTCCTGTTTGAGGCCAATGAGATGCTGTTGTTAAAACCAGTGAGAGGATCGGGCCCTGAACTCTAACCACACTGCTGTGAGCCGTGCTTCCTGTACAGCCCGCTGCCCAAAACGGTGCTGCCAAGACCTGCGGTGGGATCCTGTGCTTGGGCTGCTGTGCACTGGGAACGTGCAGCTCCCACTGGTGCTGTGGGCTTTGGGTGCAAGAAGGCTTTTGTCACCTGGGTGATGCCTTTGGGCTCGCCTGCTTGCCTTGTTTTGTTTGCCTGTGGATGCACAGGGTTTTGTCCGTATGCTGTGTGAGTGTTGTCCTGAGCCCTTGCTGTGCTGGGTGTTGCTGGTAGCAGGACAAAGTGCTGCTGTTTCCAGGCTGGGTGGCAATCTGCACTTCTTGGGGCTGTGAGTGCTGCAGGTGAAGGCAGGGTTTCTGTGCTCCCAGCAGGATGTGATGGAGAGGAGGAGCTCGGCTCATGGGCAGCCCAGTCAAGGGAAGGGAACTCTGCAGAAGGGGATCCAGAACAGTGCTGAGCTGAGCTGGGGAGGTTGGCTTCTGCTTCTGAGAAGCACTCATTCACCTCACCCTGCTTCATTTCCCAGCTGTGAGCTGGGGCTGGCAGTGCTTCCCTGTTCAGCACAGCTCTGGGAATGCTTTGCGTACCAACGCTGAGGCTCAGACCAATGGCACAGCCCATGGGCATGGCTACCCCGCATGCAATGCAGTGTGCCTCCCTGCAGGGAGGAAGAATGAGTCCATATGGTCTCATTTAATATCTCCCTGTGGACCACCTCAGCCAGAATGGCGCAGGGCTTTGTTAAGAGAGGTGGATGTGTTGCTGTGTCTGCTGTTAGTGTTGTGGGATGGAGAAAGATGTGCTGCACATCTCTGCAGGGCTGGCAGGGCTGTACTTGGAAAGCCCATCCATCCAACACAGCTTGCGGTGCTCAGCTCGTCCTGACATTAACCTGGGCTGTCTCACTGCCTGTGTCTGATGCTCACATACATAGCTGGAGGGCTGTAAGGCTTGGTCCTTCGCTGTTTATCTTTGCTGTGGACTTGGCACTGCGCATGAAGTCAGTCAGCAGTTGATAAATCCTTGCTCAGGGGGTGTTAGTCACACATCTGTGAGTAATCCGTGTCTTCATCTCCAAAACCACCTGCAAATGGAGCGGGGGAAGGAGGGTCCTGGCTGCTTCGGTTGGGGCTCTCAGATCCACAGAGTGCCTTAAACCACCTGCAGTGCCCATCTCCAGCACCAATAGATGAAGAGCTGTCCTCTCCCCTTGGAGCTGATGTTTCCAGGTTGGGGTACCAATCATTGTGCAAACAGCCACACCTCTTGCTGCAGTCATGTATCCAAGGTGTCCTTGTACCACTAAAAATAGTGCCCGGGGTGGTTAGAGCAGGGATTTTTGGGTACGCTTATTTCCTCTTTTGCTCCTGCAGGCTGTTTGCTCTGCCTCTCATGAAACTGTGACTCAGTCGGTTTCATTTTCTGCTCACTGCCCTGTGCTGCACTCCTCCGTAAGGTGGGATTCGTTTATCGCCAAACAAACCCTGTCTGAAAACACAGCCACCAGTGCTCGTCATTTCCCTTCACCTTTATTTACACAGCCTAAGCTTGTGCAACCCGAGCTTTGCACGGCAGTCCTCTCCTATCCCTGCACCCACCCAGGTAGGTCTGTCCCCGTGGAGCTGCACATGGGGCAGGACAGTGTCACACTGCAGTGACCAGCATGGCGTGGGCAGGCTGCGGGGTTTGATGGGGCTGCCAGGATGCTGTGCCCCAGTGCTGGGATGTGGCTCAGGAAGGAGCATCTCTGTGCTGGAAGCAAAAGCAGACAGAGAACTGTGTGTGCAGCATGGCAGGTGGCTTTGCCAGGTGCTGGGGCAGGGTTCTACTGGGTTTGCTGCTGAGCAGCAGTGCTGGTGCTGGTCTGCTGTGTGCTCCTGGAGAAAGAAAATGGGAAAAGCGTGTTCATGAGACCTGAGAGGTGATTCCTCCAAACCCTGGGCTTATGGCTGCCGGGGATGCAGTGCTGTGAGCACTTTATTTCTCAGTTCAGAACACATGGCTCCGATCAGAGCCATGCCATGACTCTAGGTACTTACCCAAGAGCTTTCTGTGTGCTGTGTGAGCACCGCATCCCTTTGGACTCAGACAGCCCTTGGAGCTTCAGCTCCTTCCCACCCCTATGCGAATTGAGTGCTGCCCACAAGATGTGCCCCCCAGCATGCTGGCATCAGCAGCTCAGCTTTCGGTCACCGTGTCACTGCTGGTGCCATGCAGGGGTACTTTTAAATGGTGGCATTTAAAAAGAAGCAGCCCCGTGCTGTTTGTTGAGGGATGCTGCATGCAGCTCTGGTTCCTGGTTGGGGTTGGATCTGGGATTCCTGCACTGTGCTGAGCCATTCTGCACTGAGAAATGCTGGCGTGTGGACAGAGCTCCAAGTGCAGCACTGAAGGTCAGCTTTGTGTGGTAACAGTCCTGTTGTCTTGCCAAAAAAAGCATTCAAAATGTGGGTACGTGTCCTCAAGGGTGACTTCAAAATCACCTTTCTGAGAATGAATATATGTCAGATTGCTTTTGATTTACCTTCTGCTTTCCAAACATTTACAGCCATGAACCCAAACCATTTCCTGCAACTGCCAAGGGTAGAAGTGGCATTGAAACGTGGGGTGGTTTGGAGTTGGGAGGGACCATTAAAGGCCATCTGGTCCCACTCCCTACAACAAACAGAGACACCCACGGTTCAATTGGGTGCACAGAGCCCTGAGTTGGGTGTCTCTAGGGATGGGGCACCACTACATCTCATAAACTGATAGGGTTGTAAAACGTAGAACTGTTTGAGTTGGAATTACTGATGTGTGTGGGTGCTCTTGTCACTTGTCCTTGGCTTCTGAGGTGCAGGCTGAATGGGAGAGCCACCAAGGGTGCTTGAGAGATTTAGAGAGAGATTTAGACACGCTGGCACAAATTTAGGCTGGAAAAGCCTGCGTGGCCTCTTTCCAACCTGGGGAAAGCAGCAGCCGAGCTGCCTCTTGACTTCTCTCCCCCTTGCCTCTCTCAGAGGACCAGGTGGCCCAGCAGACCGAGGAGGTGTTCCGGAGCTACACCTTCTACCGCTACCAGCAGGAGAGAGAGGAGGGAGGGGAGGAGGTGCCCATGGACCCAGAGATCATGGAGATCCAGCAGGAGCTGGGCAGGTAAAATCTGCACCCCCAGCCCCGACCCGAGCGCGGCTGCTCAGCAGTCCGTGCCCATGACAGCCCGTCTTCCCTCCGGCAGCACCGGGAGCCAGGTGGGCAGGCGCCTGGCCATCATCGGGGACGACATCAACAAGCGGTACGACGCGGAGTTCCGCCATATGCTGAAGTCATTGCAGCCCACCAAGGAGAATGCCTACGAGTACTTCACCACCATAGCCTCCAGGTGAGACAGCAGGCAGCACGCCTCCGGGAGGGAAGGTGGCACTGATGCACTGCGGCTCATTAAAACCTTAAAGCCAGCCCGGAGCAGCTGCCCCCCGCAATGCGTGGGCTCCATCTCTTCCAACTTCATCCACATCGCCACCCTGAGCTCTGACTGAGCTCACCGTTACGGTTCCTGTGTTCTCTGCCTGTCTGCTCTTGTTCCTATTGCACTTTCTTCACTCACCGTCCCCTTGGCAGCCCTTGCATGAGCTGCCTGGGGACAGAAAGTTTGGGTTGGGAAGCATGGCCAAGTGTGGATGTCCCAGCAACAGTGTGAAGACTGGAGGCAACACCCAGACGACGTTTTGCCCATACTGCACGAGGCACAGCCTCAGTCTGTGTCCTGGGCTGCTTTGCTCTGCAGCCTCAAAGGCCTCATGCTGGCCCAATCAAGTGGCCTGTGGAAGCTCCAGTTGTGCTTTGAGGGGCTCAGCCCTCGCCCCTCTCCCTGCATTTTGCCCATAGGGCCACCTGGCTCACCCAGAGTCCTGCAGAAGACCCCTGCAGGGGTCCCTGGGTCTGGTGCAGCCCCGTCCCCGCGCCCCTCCGCTCGGTGTGTGTTGTCTAACTGCCTCTCTTCTGTCCTTTTCCTGCTCCCCTCTCCCTGGGAAGCCATGCTGCGCTGTTTGCCACCCTGAGGCGGTTAACGCACCGCAAACAGGTAAATTAACCTCTGTCCCTTGGTGCTCCTGTGTCCTCGTGCTCCATCCAAGGCTCTGAACTCCCTTTCCCCCTGCGACCAGCGCAGCCCTGCAGGGACAGCCATGACAGCACCAGGTTACAACACAGGGCCGGAGCCTCCTATTACTTTTCTTCTTTTTTCCCTTTTATTTTTCTTTTCTTTTCCTTCTTGCTAACCTAGCTGGAAACCAGAAACTCCCAGGTCAGTGCCAAACCTGCACACAGTGATGCAGTTTGTGCATGGCAGCTGACACTGGGAGCAGTAGGCACTGAGTGTATTGTGAACCCCCAGCCCTTGGGAGCATCGCTGCAAGTCAGATCAGTTGGTCTTGGAGAGATTTGTCTGTGCAGGAAAAGGGAAAATCCTGCTCTAATGCACCTCTGCCCTAGATCTATATAAACGTTCTTGCCTCTGGGTATGGCTGCACAAGCAAGGGATGCTGTGTGCACATGGGTTGCAAACCTGATCCTGGCTGCATGTGTAGCACACTGCAGCGTACAGACTGATGGCTTAAACTGGCACCGGGTGCAGCTCACCCTGTGTAACACAATCCCAAGCAGCTCCACAGCTCTGCCCTGTGCTGGGATGCAGCCCTGGGGAAAAGGGCAGGACGTGTGTGTGGGGTGTGCAGAACCCCAGGTTTTCACTTGAGCGTTTCAGAGACCTGGCCAAGCCAAGCAGTGCTGGCCCAGACTTTGGTGGCTGTGCTCCTGAAGCACGTGAGGTGATCAGTGGCCATGCAGTGCATAGCCACAAAACCACTGCTTTCCCTGTGCTGTTGGGATGCTCCTCCAGCAGTGCAGCACTCTCAGCTGTGCCCTGCAGCCCACGCTAATTGGGAGCCCTGGGCAGCACAGGGATGGAGCCAAGCAGGGCGTCCTCCTCTAAGGAGCGATTGTAACCCGACCATTGGCTTCATTTCAGCTTGTTCGAGAGCGGCATTAACTGGGGCCGGGTGATCGCACTGCTGGGCTTCGGTTACTGCATGGCCATCCACGTCTACCAGCACGGCATCACGGGGTTCCTGCGCCGCATCGCCCGCTACGTCACCGACTTCATGCTGCGCAACCGCATTGCGCGGTGGATCGCCCAGCAGGGAGGATGGGTGAGGAGAGGGCGCTGCGCCCAGGGGACGGGGCCAAGGGGGGTGGGTGGGATCCAGCAGGAGATGGGAGCAGAGCGCAGTGTGGTCCAGGCAGGACGCAGGCACTTCTCACGCGCTCTGCTCTGTTTCCCTCTGTCAGGTGGCTGCACTCGATCTGGACAATGTTTACATGAAGTACATGCTGGCGGTGCTGGCCCTGGTGATGGTGGGGCATTTAGTGGTACGACGCTTCTTCAGGCCCTGACCGCCGTGGGGTGGAGGCGGGGGTCCCGCCGAGCTCTCTCTCAAACCTCTGCTCCGCGGTGACATCTCACAGGAGAGGGGCATTCAAGGGACCTCTGAGAGAGAGAGCAGCGCGGACCCTTGAGCCTCCCACTGCAGGACACGGGGCCGTGCCGCCCAGGAGACGCCGCTGGGAGCTACAGAGAGGGGCAGCGGGGAGGAGAGGGATCGGCTCTGCTGTCTGCTTGGTGCCTTGCTGGGCTGCTGAGGGCAGAGCGGCGCTGAGACCTCGTGGCACACAGCAGTGAGGCAGCAGATCAGGCTGCTCTGCAGGAACCGACGCGTTGCCGTGAGAGCACCTGTCTGTGTGTGCTGTGTCTGCTCTGTGCTGTTCTTAAGGCGCTCCTGTGGTGGGCGCAAAGCTCCCCGTGGCTGATGGCTTCATCCCACACTGTGCCTGTATTTGAAGAGGGATTCCAACCTCGGTTGTGTTGTCTGCAAATCACTGGAGGGGCGAGCCAGCATTAGAAAGTGTGGGGTTTGCTTTCGTCTTCCCTCTGCTCCTGAGCCCAAGTACTTGAGCCTTCTCTTTCTTTATAACAAGCATCCCTTACCTTCTTTAAGAACCACACTTGCTACCTGATGGTGGGAACATGCCTGGCACCAGCAGGCTGCCCATGCTCAACCCACACTGTAGCTCCCCAGGGCAGGCACAGGTTCTGGGGTGCAGCTGTGCCTCATTGCCTGCTCCCCAGCCCCACTGTGACCCCCAGAGCTGTGTGCCAGCAGGCCTGGGGAGCATCAGTGATTTTCCAAACACTAAAAAGCTGTGGGGCAGCGTGCAGTGGATGCAAGCAGCCTGCCCTCCTCCCATTCTGCTGGCTATTTCTATCCAGCACATTTGCATGCTGCCCACTGGGACCAGTGGGTGTCCCTCGCTGCCAGTAGGAGGCACTGGGGTTGCACCACTGTGTCCCTGCTCCCACTGTAGGAGCTGGGCTGGAGGTGCAGGGAGCCCAGGGCACATCTGAGCTGGGCGCAGCATGCAGCCCTGTGCATGCATGGCTTCTTTGGCGAGTGGCCCGACCTTGTTCTGTTCATGGCTGATGCTTGAAGATGAGCTTTAGGGGGGGAGGGCAGCTGGCCCCTCTCGCCCATCTCAGATCTTTCTGACTTCTGCAAAATAGGGAGAGCATCCCAGCACATCCCAGCATTGACTGCCTTGCTCAGCTCTGTTCCTTTTACTCCAGGTGACTCTTTAAGGTGTGAAACTGTGATGGCCTTCTCTGAGCCAAACCCACCCTGTACCAGCATCACACACTCCCAGAGCAGCTCAGCAGGAGCCCTACGATGAGCAGTGGGGCTGTGCTGGAGCTCCTCCTGCTGCAGGGGGATCCCTGTGGGGCTGCACCCTTACAGACAGCAGCAGCACACCCTGAGCAGCCTTCATGGGAGCCAGGGGAGAATGGTGGGCCCAGGGCAGCCCTCCTGTCCCCCCAGCAGAGGCATTTCCTAATGGATGCCTGTCTGTCCTGTTTATAAAACCTTTCATATCACCTCCCTGCATTGATTCCTACCCTTGTCTTCAGATTTGTCCTCAATGTCTTGGGACTGCTCTGCCCCAGCACAGAGGACACCTGGCAGCCTTGCAGGACTGGCCATAATTTTATACCACTGATATTCCTCAGGTTTCTGTGTTTTAATGAAACTTTTCAGCCTCTTTCTGTATCAGGGTCTTCCTGTGCTCATCCCTCCAACCCCATATCTGCAGTATCCCTGCCCCTGGCGGAGTGCCCTGAACTGCACTCACTGGAAGGACATTAAAATATTTGCTATATTCCTCTTTATCTATCGGTCTTGGTTGCTTTCCTTGTAATCCTGAAGTGCTGAGTGTCTGCGGTGCACTGTGCCCAGGTTTTGCAGCCGTGCAGATGCTCTGCAGTCGATTTGTCCCCTTTGCAAGTGCACTTCTTTGCATTTAACCATGCAGCTTCATCTGCCAACCTGTCACTGCTTCACTGCCTCGAGCAGAACTTGATATTCCCTGACTGGTGGGAGCACAGCCTGCAGGTCCCCATCCCCACCTTCATTTGTGGGTGAGAGCACCGCCAGATGGAGCTTCTCTGCCGCTGTGAACTGCTAATTGCTATTTTCCTTTTCTCTCAATCAGCCCCGTTATCTGCATGCCCCACTGCTCTCGCTGGTTGCTTTGCTTTGGTTCCAGCAGGACTTTTTGCAGAGGACCTCGGGAAGAAAACAGTACATGTCTGCTCATTACGTTGTTCACTACTTTACCAACACACTCTGGGAACTCTAAGGGAGCACATAAACAGCCCTAAGTTATCTTCATCTTCCTGAAGGGCTTCACCTTCTGAACCCAATTCAGTGTAAGGCCAGGGGATGTTAAATAAAGGAGACTTTTCAGCTCTGTGGTAGATGATCAAGCGTTGATGCAGTCTGTGATACCAGAACTGAGAAGGGAGTTTTTAACCTCGGTGCTGAACGAAGGGAAGTTTCCATTCCTAGCCATATATTCTTTTCTCAGGGGATTAAAGGGAGGACTGCCTCACGATGTCAGCACGTTGCCTCCCTCTGCTCTCATCTCTCCTTGCCTTCCTCACCCCCGGCACCCAGCAGGCTTGGACTGGGAGCACTGCTGGGTGCTGCCCTGTAGCCCTGTGTCCTATTGCTGGGTGACAGCAGCGCTGCTCGGTGCTGAGCTGGGAGTCTGACATGCAGCAAAGGCACTGCTGGGCTCCTGCAGGTTCTCAGGATAAGTCCAGGTGCTCCCTGAAAGGCTGGGTCAGCACGTTTAGTGCTGCGGAATCATGGTTTTAGGCAGCATAAGCTGTGTTTGACCAGCCACAGGTGGCACTGTGGACAGTGGATGCTCCTCCTGTCACCTTCCCAGCTGCTGTGGTGCTATGGGGTATGGCTGCCACATTTTGCCTTCCTCCCCTGATGGGAAACTCTCAGCTGGGAAATGAAAGCAGAAGGTGAGAAGGCTTTGCTGTGGCCTTTCATAAGGAGAAGGTTGTTCACATGGGCACAGCAGTTGGAAGGAAAGAGTGTGAGCAAAGTGACTGAATCACTTTGGGGTTTGGTGGGCAGGGGTGCTGCTTGTCAACAGCCCATGGTGGGCCTGCATTTCAGGAAGGAGCAGCTCTGATGCTCAGCACTCAGCAGTGCCAATGCATGGTTTGCTTGCCCTGCACAGTGCAGGGGGGGAAGCCAAGTGCTGCATCCCCTCTGCAGACAGACCCTGATCTGTGGGGTCAGATGGCTGCAGTCACTGCAGGAGGAGCTGTGCCCCAGGGCTTGCAGAGAGGGGTGCTGAGTCCCTGCATGGGAAGGATTTAGGGAAGAAAAGGAGTTCTTCTGGTGAGGGGCTCTTTGTGCCTAGAAGAGGTGCTAAGAGAGCACAGCCCAGACAGAAAACTGGGTTCAAGCAGAAGGGTGTGTTTGGGGCTGGGATTTCATCCAGATTATAACAGGTCTGTAACAGGGGGGTGAGAGGCTGGAGGAAGAGCTGGAGGAAGAGCTCTGACTGAGCACCTGGAGGCATGGCAGGCTGCCCACCACCTTGGCTTTCCTTGCTGGATGGAGGAGGCTGATTTCAGCTTTGCTGGTCAGCACCCCCCTGCCCTGCACTGAGCCACAACCCTCACCCACCCTCCCACCCCAGAGAGCATCCTTGGTGCTCGTGCCCAGTTCAGCCTCCTGCAGAGCACACCACATACTTGAAGCACGCGGTGCTCCTCACAGCTCGCTCCCCAGTTCCTTTCCCCATCCCTGCAGAAAGCCCTGCTCTCTCCCAGCACAGCAGGGCACACCGTGGACCAACGAAGCGTGCCTTGCACTGCAGGCATCCCCTCTGGCAGCAGGAGGGGAGGAAGGAGCAGGCAGGGTCTGTGGTGAGCTGGGGAAGGAGCTGCCTGCAGACACAGGGACACGGCGGGTTTGCTTTTACCACAAAATCCTTTCCTTTCACAAATATTCTGTTTTAAAGTGATGTAATATATATATATATATATTTGAAAATAAAATGGTACACACAGTGCAAACTCTTTCTGGTGTCCTTTGCTGGGTGCTCGAGGTACCAGTGGGTGCATTGCAGGTTCCCTTGCACAGATCTTCATGAGATGCTCAGCTTCCCCATTGGTTTAGGGAGAGCAAAGCTGCCTCCTCACAGCTTTGCCAGCACGAGGGAAGAAGGATCTGCTGCTGAATCCCGCTTTACCATCCCTGAGAGCTGGTGCTGTAGGGATGCAGGGTGCAGCATGCTGTTGTCTGATCAGCAGCTCTTGTCCTGCCTCAAAATTTAGGACCTGTCCACGCCTCAGGAAACAAGGAGGGCTGGAAATCACGAAAGAGAGATCTGTTACAGAGGAGGGTGGCAGGGTTCTCAGCTCTCAGTTACAACAGGTCTGTAACACACTCCAGCAAGTAAAGAGGAGACGTGTGTTGCTGCCAGAAACATCCAACAGGACGGAGGTGCTGCCCCTGCCCTGTGCTGGGAGGGCTGGCAGACAGTACTGCCTGCTGCTGCTGTGAGGAGAAACCACACTGCTCGTGGTGATGGGATGCATGGCTGCTGTAGCACTGCATGGGGATGGCTTTGCTGTGTCAGCAGGCAGAGCAGCGTGGCTGTTATCTTCCAGCTGGCTTAGCAGTGAATCCAAGAGGCTCAGCAGCTCCCATCCGCTGCTCTGCCCCATCCCACATTGCTGTGAATGAGTGTCCATCAGGCAGAGCAGTGACAGTTCCTTTACCCTTGGCACGCCTGGCCTTGCAGTCTGTGCCTCTGACTGGTGGTGAGTTACACTGAGAGCTGGGGACGGGGACAGGACGTCTGCCAAGAGGACATGGGACCAGAAGGGGCTGCAGGGCCTGAGCCCCAGCCATGCTCATTTCTGCAGAATTAATCCTGGGGAATGCATATGTGAGCACAGGGAGGAGACAAGGGCTTTGGTCATGCACTGCTGCAAAAGGAGTAGGGCTCAGCCTCGCTGCGCAGCCAGCCAGCAGCAGGTGAGGCATTGCAGTGTAAATAAATATTTACCCTCCAGTTCCTGCTCTCTGTACATAGCCATATCACACAGTTGCTGCTTGGTGCTTTGCAGTGGGATTCAAGCAGGGCTGGAGCATCCCCAGCTACGCAGCAGGACCTGGCTGCCCTGCAGGCTAAGGTTAAACTTTAACAAAGGGTAAATGACCCCAGTTAAAGAGCAAACTGCTCCCATAATCCACTTTGTGTCCTGCCCCAAAACCAGATCAAGCTCCTAATTAAATTAGCAGAAAAAAAAATAATAAGGCCACAATATTATTGAGGGATTTGCCTTTGGCCATTCAAATAGAATTGACCAGAATTTGAGCGCTGGTGGCAACCTAAACCCAGATCTGGCATTTGAGGCAGTCCTTGCCTCTAGAATCAGGTCAGGCTCTGGGCGGCCCTGAGCTGTGTCACTGTGCTGACAGGGATGCACTCCTTCCCTGGGCCTTGTCCCCATCCGCTCACCTCCTGTGTTGGTTCATCACCCATCTCTGGCATTGCACACAGGGGGAAGGAAGCAGCTTGGAGCTCCCAGCTGGAACGAGAGCAGGCGATGCACCAAAATGCTGTGATTGAGGAGAACTGGCACAGGCAGCTCTGACAGCAGCAGTGCAAACTGCTAAGCCAGTATCTATTTTTTCATGCTATCAATTGGCAGCAAGAGAGCTGGGCTCTTCTCATGCTCACTCCTTGTTCCCATATCTTCCCAACTTTCCCAGTGGGTGACACCTGAAGTGAGGACAGCTCGAGAGCATGGCAGCGCTGATGGCAGGGCAGAGGTGGGACCGCTCCAGCAGCTGGGATGGTTCTGGCACGGATGTGCTCTGCTCTGCTGGTGCTTGCAGGCACAGAGCTGGAAATCTGGCACGGTGACTTCACATCTGTGATACACCACTGAGACCCTTGTCATCATGGGGATTCTGCAGGAACTCAGCTCTCTGGGATGGATATCTGCTGCAAAAGGAAGAACCCCTTCTGTCAAAGTTAGAAGAACCGGTTCAGCACAAAGGGAGCAGTGATTTCAGTTTTTACCTATTCCAGTCATTGGAGGAGAGCGTACCACAGCACTGTGTTCATACAGGTCACTTTCCAAATTCAAAGCTCCCTCTACCCTAAAACACTCTTACGTTTGCTCAAACCTCTCTGCATCATTTTGGCCTCCCAGATTGTCAGGGGAAGGACCCTGGCATTTGAGCTGATTGCACTTGGCTGGGGGTATTTACACCAGAGGGGTTGGTGGGCTGTTATTGCCTAAGGGAGACTGAGGTCAGAAAGCTGGGAGAGGACAGAGCCTGCTGGCCCAGATAACTGCCTTTGAGCTGTGCAGCAGCACGTGAGTAGCACAAGACACTGATAAACTCCTCTTCTTTGCAATCATCTTGCAAGAATTACACACCTGGGGAGGAACAGCCTCATATATCAGTGCAGGTACAGGGCTGAGCTGCTGGAAAGGAGCTCTGCAGAGAAGGACCTGGGGGTCCTGGCGGCGAACCATCGGGTGCCCTGGTGGTTCCTTAGGGCACACGGCACAGAGCGCAGCCAGCAGGGTGAGGAGGTGCTGCTCCCCTCTGCTCTGCCCTGGGCTCCCCAATAAAGGGCAGACGTGGAGCTGGAGGGGCTGCAGAGATGATCGGGTGCTGATGATCTCCATTGGCTCCGTGCTGCTCCTCCATTCTGTGGTTCTGTGGCACACACGGAGCATTGCCCCCAGCCAAAGCACTGCGCTCCATCCCAGCCCAGCTGGCACCTCACTGCTGCCTGGGATAAGCACGGCTGATGCTGCAGGTTGGTAGG